ACATTAGTGAATATAACAAACTTAACTAAAACATCTGATTTCTCATTCTGAGCCATTATTCATTACACCACCTGCATATCCAAGCTTGAAGCACCTGGTATTCGCAAAGCAGTCACTCATCCAGTTTCGAAAATGCTTAACTTTGGTGATCAAACCAGAGTCAGTGATTCAGCATGATATGGCCATAAGTGTACAGTTCTCGGGAAGATTGCAGCTTAATACTGGGGGATAATTGCTTTAGAGATTAGGGTGGGGAAGTTTCTGTTCATTATTTAACAGAGAGAAATTAGACAGATATTGTGATTTACAAAAAGTGTGTGTACGTGCATCTCATCTACAAATTTTCATCTGGAGATAAGCATTCCCTTTGATGCCCAATTATCAAATTCATATATAGGATAAATAACCACTACTCTATCCCATAGGTTAACCTGGCACCTCATAAATATTGAAATCGATGCATACATTAATAAACATTTATCATTTGATAAGAAGATCATCAAGATAAGACAGACTTGCAAATAACACAGGTATAAAGGATAATATTAAATGCAAAAAATTTCAACAATGTTAGAAACCCTAATCATAAAGCTAAAGAAAATCTTCAACATTGGAATTGTGGTTAGAAACATTATTCAACTGACAACACATTAAGCCAATAAAGAATCTCATTTGTCTGTGAGATCAAAAGTACAACAGCTATCTTGAGCTTTAAAATGTATTTGAGTAGGAGAAAGAGGAACTTGTTTACCGAAGTCTGGATCTTGAGAATAACCAGAAGCATGTTTGAAAGGACTCTACCACTAACATTTGGATAAGATCTATACTCATTGGACCCAAACTAGAGTATAAACTAGTCATATATATAAAAAAGAAAAATGAAATTCTTGTCCATCATTCTTAATGGAACAAGTACCAATGAAAAACTTAAATACTGTGTGTGTGTGTGTGTGTGTGTGTGTGTGTATATATATATATATATATATATATATATATATATATATATATATATATATATATATAGTTATAGTTTTATTGTATGCTATATTCATGGGTAAAAGTGTTTAATACCAGAGAGAGAGAGGACAAAAGTGAACACTGAATGGTGACAAACTGTTTCATGCAATCTTCAGGCCTTTTTTTTCTCTCCCATATATATATATATATATATATATATATACATACACACACACACACACACAAAAAGGATGATGATTTTTATATATATATATATATATATATATATATATATACATACACACACACACAAAAAGGGAGTGATGAAATTTTATTATATATATATATATATATATATATACACACAAAAAGGCTGAAATTATATATATATATATATATACACACACAAAAGGGAGTGATGAAATTTTATTATATATATATATATATATATATATACACACACACAAAAGAGATGAAATATATATATATATATATACACACACAAAAAGGGGAGTGATGAAATTATATATATATATATATATATATATATATATATATATATATATATATATATATATATATATATATATATACACACAAAGGGGGTGATGAAATTTTATTTATATATATATATATATATATATATATATATATATATATATATATATATATATATACACACAAAAAAGGAGTGATGAAATTTTATTATATATATATATATATATATATATATATATACACACACACACAAAAAGGAGTGATGAAATTTTATATTATATATATATACATACACAAAAGGGAGTGATGAAATTTTTTATATATATATATATATATATATATATATATATATATATATATATATATATACATACACACAAAAAGGGAGTGATGAAATTATATATATATATATATATATATATATATAACACACACACAAGGAGGTGCTGATAAATTCTTGTCCTAAGTTGCATGGTTTTCGAAATAAAATAAGAAAAATTATTTGGCATTTGGTCAGTATAACTTTTATCCTCAAATACTCATTTACTTATATATATATATGATATATTACATGCACACAGTATATCTGGTTAGCCATCCTTTGTCTTTGCATGTTTTGTTGAATAAGACCAAGAACTTTTCCTATTCAATTTTTCAATTTCTGAAGGCTGTATAGATGAATTGTCCCAAAGACTTTCAGCTAATTCATTAACTATTTTCAAGGAAATTTTTGTCTGTTTTCAATTCCCTAATTTTCAAGGTAACAAACTGTTAGTAACGGTTTCATTTCATTTACTAAACTGTGCCATATGAGAGTTGCAGTAGTAATTTCATTTTTTTTTAGTAGCAAAAAAAAAAAAAAAAAAAAAAAAAAAAAGAAAAGAGACCCATTACCCTAAACATAAAAAGTCAATGTTCTGGAAGACAGGAAGATATTGTAGAAAGCATGGTTTCCAATAACGGAAAAGTTGTTTTCTATCAAAGAGAAAGCAATCCAATGTTATTTTTCAACAAAACAATGCTCCTGTCCACATTAAAAAGACCAGTAAAATAAATAACAGGAGAACAAAGCCCAGCAAACTCACACTTTGGTCAGGTCAGAGTTCAAACTTTGATCCTATATAAAATATTTAGCCTCACAATAAAAAAAAAAAAAATAAAAAAAAAAATAACCCGGGGGGGGGGTGGGGACATTCCTCAACTACTCATCAATTATTTGAAACCATTAACATTAAAAGGAACGGCATTGACACGGCTTTCTGCAAAAAAGCCAGCTGTAATTTACACAGAAGGTGAAAGAAATAAAAAGAAAAAAGAAGATAAAAAGAAATCCCATTAGCTGCATGATCTGTTTATTTAATTCTTGCTTATTTCTTGATAAAAATGCTTCATATTTTGCCATTTGGGACTTGGCCTATTTTTTTTCCTTCTTTTACCCAGGTGTGTATATAAAAAAACACAGACTTTATAAATCAGTTTCCCAGCCCAATATCAACTTCTAAGTAATAAGATATGTTGCTGGTATTGGCATTGCTTCATACCAATTTGTGTATATGCCTCATGCTAACCATAATGGAATATCTCATAAGTAGGGGAGATTAGGATGCTAATATTTTTCTTAAGTTTCAGTTAATTTTGGTGATATTTTTACATTCAACAATATTAAAAATCAAAATTCTTTCCTTCACATAACAATAGAGTTAATTAGAGAGATAAAAATCCTAAATTATCGATGTCCAAAATATAAATAAAATGTGACTTTAAATTTACTTAAATAAAACCATCATTTCTTGACAATATAGGTAAAGTAGAACAAGTGTCACACAGGACTATAGAGATACGGATTCACCTGAAAATATTTATACCAGTTACTCTGTTAATGTGTGAATAGATGTATATTATATTTATACTATTTACACAGACTATTGTCCTTATCTTTGCTATTGTTATCACAATGTTTCAGCCATTGTACCCTCTCATCTTCCACAGGTGTATACTGATCTGGGTAAACTACAGAGAAAAGATGTATAATATATACAAAAATAAACTAATCAGTTTGTACTGTAACTAAATTTTATTGCTTGAACACAGAAATAAATTAATCTCAATAAAGAGACAACTAAAAAAAAAAAAAAAAAAAAAAAATTATATATATATATATATAAAAATTTGTGTGTAATGTGTGAAAAAATTTCCAATAGAGCACACACAAAAAAAAACAAACCCCCCCCAAAAAACCACATAAGACAATACGAATAAACAAAAGGAAAACTTATTTTAGCCAATGAGTCTATCAAAGTAATCATTTTATCTTTATCATTTGTCACGATAAAGTCCATCAAAGGACAAAATGTATCACCTAAGGGAAGTTTTCCTTTTGTTATATATATATATATATATATATATATATATATATATATATACCTGTGTAATGTGCAAGGTTTATTTTAAATACATTAAATGGATAAATAGTTTGGTAGCCAGCGTCAGCAGTACATATGCTAATTTTATATCTTGTGTATAATGCAAGCCCCTTAAAATTAAGTCTTCGAAAGTCTCCTGATATGCGAGTTCTGTATGTATGTGTATATATATATATATATATATATATATATATTTTGCAGATTTTATAAAAAGTGTGACAAGCATATGTTTGATTAAAACTTTTATGCATATGCTTGTCAAATTTTGATAGCATCCCTAAAATAAAAAAATTTACAATATAATATATATATATATATATATATATATATATATATATATATATATATGACATACACACAGCTTCCACTATTATTATAGTGGATACTACATATTCATTATACACACACACAAATGATAGTAGTGTGGACGAGCCATGCAAGCTAAACACTAAAAAATTAAAATATTAAGATATAAGCAAAATACACTTTTTCTTCACTTGCAGAATTGTTTGGGTGGTATGAATGGTCCATGCTAGTGTTATTTGTACACACATTTTCATATTATATATATATATATATATATATATATATATATATATATATATATATATATATATATATAGAGAGAGAGAGAGAGAGAGAGAGAGAGTGAGTGTGTGTGTGTGTGTGTGCATACACTCTCTCACTCCCAACAAAGAGAAAAATGTAAGAATGCTGGAAAAACTAAATAAAATAATTGATAAATTTTTCTTTTTTTCATATTTAATAAAAATGTTTAAAAGAAAAGTTGTTGACCAAATGTACGCATGTGTGTGTGTGTGTGTGTGTTAAAGGAAAAAATTAAAAATTGGAATTTTCCCATTTATTTCATAAGTTGAAGATCTTCTTTTATATGCCATATCTCTTCAGGGGACGGGCAATCATAGCTCACCACAATCTCCTATCCTTTGTAGATCTAAGCAATGTTTATTCTCTTCTTCTCCGTCTCTCTTCTGCTAAACATTCACAAGAACTCGTGGAGGCAGGTTAGTCATTGCTTCCTTCTGCCCCTTCTACCACCAATCTGGCCTTTGAGAGTCAAATTCTCCAAGCCTGCTTGCTTCATTATGTGTTTTAGAAATTTCAATTGTTTCTTTTTGATTCTAAGAAAAAGAGAAAGGAGGGGGAGAGAGAGAGAAGAGGGCAGAGAGACGAGAGAGGAGGGCAGAGAGACGAGAAAGAAAAAAGGAGAGAGAGACGAGAAAGAAAAAAGGAGAGAGAGACGAGAAAGAAAAAAGGAGAGAGAGACGAGAAAGAAAAAAGGAGAGAGAGAGAAAGAAAAAAGGAGAAGAAAAAAAAGGAGAGAGAGACGAGAAAGAAAAAAGGAGAGAGAGACGAGAAAGAAAAAAGGAGAGAGAGACGAGAAAGAAAAAGAAAAAAAGGAGAGAGACGAGAAAGAAAAAAGAAAAAAGGAGAGAGAGACGAGAAAGAAAAAAAAAGGAGAGAGACGAGAAGAAAAAAAAGGAGAGAGAGAGAAAGAAAAAAAAAGAGAGAAAAAAGAAAAAGAGAGACGAGAAAGAAAAAAGGAGAGAGAGACGAGAAAGAAAAAAGGAGAGAGAGACGAGAAAGAAAAAAGGAGAGAGAGACGAGAAAGAAAAAAGGAGAGAGAGACGAGAAAGAAAAAAGGAGAGAGAGACGAGAAAGAAAAAAGGAGAGAGAGAGACGAGAAAGAAAAAAAAGAGAGAGAGAAAGAAAAAAGGAGAAGAAAAAGAAAAAAGAGAGAGAGACGAGAAAGAAAAAAGGAGAGAGAGACGAGAAAGAAAAAAGGAGAGAGAGACGAGAAAGAAAAAAGGAGAGAGACGAAAAAAAAAAGGAGAAAAGGAAAGAAAAAAGAGAGACGAGAAAGAAAAAAGGAGAGAGAGACGAGAAAGAAAAAAGGAGAGAGAGAGACGAGAAAAAAAAGGAGAGAGAGACGAAAAGAAAAAAAAAGAGAGAGAGACGAGAAAGAAAAAAAAGGAGAGAGAGAAAAGAAAAAAAGAGAGAGAGAAAAAAAAGAAAGAAAAAGGAGAGAGAGAGAGAGAAAGAAAAAAAGGAGAGAGGCGAGAAAGAAAAAAAGGAGAGAGAGACGAGAAAGAAAAAAAGGAGAGAGAGAGGAGAGAAAGAAAAAGGAGAGAGAAAGAAAAAAAAAGAAAAAAAAGAGAGAGAGAGGAGAGAGAGACGAGAAAAAAAGGAGAGAGAGAAGAAAGAAAAAGAGAGAAGAAAAAAAAGGAGAGAGAGACGAGAAAGAAAAAAGAGAGAGACGAAAGAAAAGGAGAGGAGAGAGAGAGAAAGAAAAAAAAGAGAGAGAGACGAGAAAGAAAAAGGAGAGAGAGACGAGAAAGAAAAAGGGAGAGAGAGAGAAGAAAAAAAAAAGGAGAGAGAGACGAAAGAAAAAAGAAAAGAGAGAGAGAGAACGAGAAAGAAAAAAAGGAGAGAGAGACGAGAAAGAAAAAAGGAGAGAGAGAGACGAGAAAGAAAAAAGGAGAGAGAGAGACGAGAAAGAAAAAAGGAGAGAGAGAGACGAGAAAGAAAAAAGGAGAGAGAGAGACGAGAAAGAAAAAAGGAGAGAGAGAGACGAGAAAGAAAAAAGGAGAGAGAGAAGAAAAAAGAGAGAGAGACGAGAAGAAAAAAAGAGAGAGAGACGAGAAAGAAAAAAAGGAGAGAGAGACGAGAAAGAAAAAAAGGAGAGACGAGAAAGAAAAAAAAGAGAGAGAGAGAGAGAGAAAAAAAAAGAGAGAGAGACGAGAAAGAAAAAGGAGAGAGAGAGACGAGAAAGAAAAAAAGGAGAGAGAGACGAAAGAAAAAAAGGAGAGAGAGAAAGAAAAAAAAAAGGAGAAAGAAAAAGGAGAGAGAGACGAGAAAAAAAAAAAAGAAAAAGGAGAGAGACGAGAAAGAAAAAAGGAGAGAGAGACGAGAAAGAAAAAAGGAGAGAGAGACGAGAAAGAAAAAAGGAGAGAGAGATGAGAAAGAAAAAAGGAGAGAGAGATGAGAAAGAAAAAAGGAGAGAGAAGTTATAAAATTGGCACTGCAATCAGAAATCAATGTCTTTTTTTTTTAAATTCATATTATAGATTTAAGCCAGTGCTTCTTAACTTTTTTTACACCAGGTCGCACTTGTAGACTAACTAAAATTCCACGGTGCACTTTAAATTTTAATAAGGGAAAATTAGTCATGAAATTTGCAAACTATAAAAATACTAAAGAAGTCTCCTGAAATAAGCATTTACTTTTAAGACATTACATTCTATATTTAAGTCTGCTTGGTGTACTTTGGCAATTTTTTTGAATGTGAGGCCTTATCTGTGATAAACATACTCTCATTTCCACATCAATGCATTTAATATTTGATCTGTTTTTGCATTTAATGTTGGTAAATACAGAAAGTCCTAATTCACAGGGGCATGATGGGGAAATTGCAATAAAATATTCTATGCTTTACTGGTTCTTGGGGGATATTCTTCTTGAATAGAAATCCTAAATTGATCAATGGACACCTCTCTATGCTTGATTTGTAAGCCATGATCAGCCGATATAGTAACTGGCTCAGCTTCTTCTGTTAACAATAAGCCAACATCATCCGCTGAAATGTTGATAGACTTGGATGTGGAACCCATGCGCTTGGTGTCACTAGCTTTTTAAAAATAAACATTTTTAAATATAAAAACAATTCATAAATTATTCTTCTGTTAACTCACAGTGCACTTTGCAAGGAGAGCGCATTGGTTGAGAAATCCTGGATTAAGTACTCTAGATCACTAATAGTGGTTTTAAAGCCAAAACAAAATACACTCATACCATTTGATTTCTAAATGGAAAAAAATCATAATCTACATTTAGTTTTTTTTATATATTACTCCATAGATTAAGACTATATTATTATATAGATTAAGTACTCCACTCTAATCGGATAGCAGTTTAAATTCCAGTTGAATCCATTACATTCACTTACATGCTAATATGCTTGAGAAAGGTATGAATCCTCTCCTCCCAGCTATGGGTAAATAGCAGGACAGACCATGTTCTATAGCCTTGGATGGCAACTGGTCTACCGCAGAAAGAAATAGCAACCTACTGCAGGAAAAAAATCTGCCTCGTCAGTCATGTATCAAAAGATACATGATCGCCTCAGCGTGTATCACATAACTGACCGACTGCGAATAATGAATTAAAAAAAATAAAAATAAAATATTTTTAAAAATTTTATGAAATCACGTTTTGTTTTGGCTTCCATGGGGGGGGGATCAGTTTACAATGATTTTACATGGTAAAATGAACCCTCTTATTAACGTTTATAAAACTGATTTAAAATAAATATTCAGGATCTAGAGTGCACTATCGTAATATTTAAAGAAAAAAAATAATTTCTGGTCACAGATCTTTTGCACAACTCCATCATAAGAAGTTTCTTTTTACTTTTATGGTATATTTTTAATAAGAGAGGTAAAACATTAAGTTAGATTTAGTAAATTTAATTATAACATCTCATATATATATATATGTCAATTATGTCATATTACAAGCTGTTGGTAGTTATTTCATTTCAAGAAAAAAAAAAAAAAAAAAAAAATTCAATTGGCATGCCACCCATAAAAATAAATTGTTGGCCTTTGTCTAATCATCTTAGGAAGATAAAGAAAAAAAATAATTTGAAAAGCATTTTCAAAATATCCCTGGATTTGATCCAATATAAAGTGAACATATTTTAACTCAGCAGATTGTCATATTGAATTATTTGACTTTAAAAATGTTCTATCCCTCTCTTTCTAAAGTGTTTTAAAGACTGTATATATAAATTGAGATCAAATATGGCTCTGAATTCAACAGAATGAAGAACAAATAGGAAACATTTATAAATTTAACGTGTTTTGATTATTTTAAAGCCTCAAAAACTTTTCCATATCTCATTCTGATGAAGCTTTAATAAAACTGAAACAGGTTAGATTTATAAACGTTTTATTATTTGTTCTTTATCCTATCGTATATAGATGGGTATGCCTAGATATTTAAATTTGTATGGTTGCCCAACATATCAACTCTTATTCCAGACCCCACATTTATTTTATTTTCCACAGTATTTCTTTTTCCTAACCTGTCTGTTTAGTTTATTTTAATGTATTTTGGTTCTGGAAACAAATTAATTTTGAATTAATTTTCCAATTTAAACTTCTATTCAGTACTTATAACTACATGGCAATGTTTGTATGTTTATATATATATATATATATATATATATATATATATACACGCACAAAAAAAAATACTAAGAAAATAGTTTTACTAATGCCATATAAGAACCTTGTGTATCTGTTAGGATTTCTTTTATCAGATGTTTTCGGAATTGACACTAAGTATAATTTCCTAATAACTGTTTTATGCTCCAGGCATGACCTAGCTTAATCATTTTAATAAAATCAAATTGTTTAAATTAGAGCTTCTTTTTAATTTTTTTTTTTTTTTTTAAAACAAAAAATTATTAATACTGATAGATACATAATTGCAAAAAATAAAATGTGACTGTAAATACAACCAAGCCAAATCATTTGTCGGGAGAATAACTTTTTTTTTTTTTTTTTTTTTTAGCAAGTAAACAATAAAATATAACTAATACTAAAAATGATAACAACAACAACAACAATACTTACAATTGGACGACATTCTCCGGCAAATCACTCTTAATCATTTCGGACAGGTCAGTGAAGGGTTGTTCATTGCTAGAACAGTCTACCTTCCGTGTGACCACCACTGTCCGATTGCTGTCTGTAGTTGACCCCACTGTTGGGACCGACTGCAACAGTGAAGGTGGTTGGGACGGGGCCTCCCTTGAGCTACCCCCAGAATTTTTAGCCCTGTTTTTAGGATTAACCACTTTGCATGTACATCCCGGTGGGCACGGTGCCCCCAAAGACCTGGGTCCAAGGAGTAGTAGCAAAAACGTACACACTACGAACACCTGGTAGTGGTAATTTTTAGACCCCAGGGGGAACCCCACTTGAGACAGAGCGGGGGTCCGATGTGGGGCGGTTTTGCCATTATTAAGAGTCCGATTTCCTGTGGGGAAAGAAGCACGCTCTTTGGGTTGGTGTTGTGTGGAGCCCAGGGGGCAACCGCGGGTGGAGGGGCCCCATCCTGCTATGGGCCTTTTTGTAGTGTCGGTCCGTTTGATACTTATAGCATCATTCATGGCCAATGTAGGCGAGTCGACATATGTAAAAATCCTGAGGATGGTTGTTGTTAGATAAAAAATCCTCGAAGCTTTTTCTTCTGTAGATAAATCCAAGAATTGGTAACTCACTAAAAATTAAAAATAAATAAAATAAAAATTAATTGTAAGTTAAAAACGAAATTTTAAAGGCAGAGAGAAACACGAATAAATAAATACATACAAACGGAAAATAAGTGAAAAATGTTTTTTTTCCAGGTTAAAGCAGAATTGGAAAAAAAAAAAACAAAAAAAAAAAACGCCTAGGCGATAATAATATTCATTATTATTATAAATTTGCAATAATGACGATCAGTTCTATGTAAAAAAAAAATGTGTGTATTACAGTCGGTTAAGCTTTTAAATGCAATTATTACATTTTAATAAAACTTAAGGGACAAGAAGACATTTCGTTAACTATCGTTATTTATCCCCTTACGGAAGGCAAAACAAAACATGCTCATAAGTGCGATCAGAGTGTTAGTGATGTCTGGTCCCAGTACCTTGTACAGCTCCACCTCTTAAGCAATATTACTAATTAATTATTATTATTAATTAAATTGTACGGTTTCAACAAGAATTGTTTTGACTATTAATTTCTATTTTTTGTCATTACAATGTTTAGGTCGAACCATTCTACAGCCTTCGAACATCTTTTATTTTATGGACGTAAAAAAAAAATATATAGTTACTTAGAAGATAAATAAACTAAACATGTTTTTGTTTGTTACTAGAAGCTGATTGAAACAATTTAAGACATTTTGAAGTTTGTTGTTTTTTTTTTGTGATATTTTGGTTACTTTGATCTTTTTTTCAGGATGTAAAAATATAGATGAACCCACATGGCCCCTGAAAAGGTTGATTTTTTTTAAAATCATTATGACATTCGTTTCGTAAAAATATAGAATAGATTAAATGTCGAAAGCAATTTTACAAGTTTTAATAATTGTATTGTATTTAAAAAGAAAATTTCAAAGCAAAAAGCACTTTAAGATTTAGAAAAATAATTAGAAATAAAAAAAAAAGCCAAAATGACCAAGTAAGGTTAAAAAAAAAAAAAGTGCGACATTTTTAAACTGAATAAAAAATCAATCATCCTTTTTTATTAAACAAGTGTAACTTTTTTATTATACTTCGAAATAGTTGTTGCTTTTTTTTTACCCCGTTTTAAAATTATTTATTTAGTACTTGTTAAAATAAACTATTTAATATTGTTAAATAATTATTAATAATAAATAAATACTGTAAGAAAACAAACAAATAAAAGCTAAAAAAAAAAAAAAAAAGTGATTTGTTTTGGTTCAAAACTTTTTGGGACATTAAAAAAAAAAATGAACATGGAAACAAAATCTCAGCCTCTTCATATTGAGAGGATTGTATTTACAAAGGAAGGCCGCAAACTGTATCGGCTGGGATGTCTTAGTAACAACAAAATAATGAAATCAACAGCCTGAACCCTAGTTAATTAATTTTAGAACGATTATTTAATAATAATAATAATAATGACCTCAAAAACAATATTACTATCAAATTGCGATTATTATGGTTAAACTTTGATAGTCACACACGTGTCGCAAAAAAATGTGTTGAGAATAGTAATTAAAAAAAAACATCAACAGCAAGTTACTTTTTTAAAAGTACACGAGACCTCTCGCCTTGTTATAAAAAACGTCTTAAAATTTTCATATGAAATAAAGCCTAAAAAGGTTACTTTTTTTAAATATGTATTTTTAATTATAAAAAAAAATCTTTGAAAAGGTAGGTAGAACAAAATTAAAAAAGAAAACAAAAACAAAACAAAGCTTAGGTTTTAAAAGACTTTTTTTAAAAAATTGTTTCTAGATCTATTGTTATCAAACTACAAGTTTTTATTAGTAAAAATTAGTTACCTAGGTTAATGTAACACCATTATTATTATCATCTTACTGGAGAAGGCGGAGACACGAGGGGCCAATGACACCACTCAAATAATCAGTAATTACCGACTTTTAATTAATACAATTAGGCATTATTTATATAATTTTTTTCTTAAGCCTGTTACGTGGTTGACACTAACAACATACAATATAAATACCAGTATTTTAAGGACTTAATCATAGACACAACGAAAAGAAATAACCGGGTGTGACCTCCTAAACGCGGGTAGGTAGAGAGTTTAAATCTGGCAGTAATTCAATGTTCATTTAAAGAAAAGCTAAATTTTTTTTTTATGGGTGTGTAGTTGGTACAGGAAAATGTTACTGTAAAAAAGAAAGGGAGGAAGAAAAAAAGCTAAATCTTTGGTTTCGTATAGTTTAAAATTAAAAGTTCATGCTGGGAAAAGAAAGATACTTAAAACTTAAACGTCTAAGTAACTGGAATTAGTTTTTATTTATTTATTTATTTTTTAAAATTAGCCTGAATTTAGTTCAGAAAGGAAATAAAAACCGCAAGATAACAAAAATCAAAGCAAAATGAAGAAAAACCAACAACAGAACAAGTCAGGGTTTTTATACGCACCTGTCTGTAGAAAGTCCAGTGTTTGGCAATACTCCACGCATTGGTTATTTTTATTATTATTTTTTTAATTATTGGGTAAATTATTGTCTATCCACCCGTTGGCTTTTTTGTTGTTGTTTTAAGCCGTTTTTATTTTTATTATTAAATGAAAATCTTTTTTGCAAAGAGAGCAAGTCGTAAAGTAAAGAAAGACTAAAATAAGCTTTATCTTCGAGGAACGAGTGACATCAAGATATATATATATATAAAAAAAAAAAAAAAACACACACACACACACTGGATGTAGAAAACTCAATACAGGAAACGACAAGAGAAAATAACTATTTACTTATTCCAACAATGGGAAAAGTCTTATTCCTTCTAAAATATAATTATTTAGCTGAAATTACTCCAGCAATCGCTGATTAAACATTCTTAACTCCTTTTTTATTTGTAACCAGACGAAATAAACCAACGTTTAATTAACAAAATGCTTTGTAAGTTTTTTTTATTTTAATATTAAATGACACATTTTTAGGCACAAATCACGTGTACTTATCATTTATTGAAAGAAATTTATAACTAATTTCCTCTTTTTCTTTCCACGGTTAATAAAAGTTTGACATTATTTTAAACAGCCAATTTCAAAATTACTTTAAAAAAAAAAGAAAAAAAAAACATTTCTTTAATGTTCACAGAAAAAAAGAAATATATAGATTTAAAGTCCACAGGTCGAGAAACAATATACTTTTTAAATTCAGCTTTTTTTTAATATCATTTTTTTTTTAAATGTGTCTTATTCTTGTGCCTGATTGAAGAATAGGTTTTCTTTCTTCCCAGATGAAAATAAGAATTCCCCCCCAAAAGATGAATTGGTTTTATTGTTCTTCAGATGTATTCCTTGCAAGAAATAATTGTCTATGCCATCGATGGGGGTGGGATATATTATTGTTATTGTCAGTTATTACACGAGAAATACAAAAAGACGACAAAGTATGCCTGGATGTACCAGTAACTGAAGCAATGGTAGTATCTGTAATTGTGGTATCAATTATTTCGGCGGTCGAAGCAGAGTGATACAGACGACAGGGAGGAAAGTAATCGCACGATTGGGAATGGTCTTCTCTTCTTAAACGTGAGGAAAAAGATGGTCGAGTCGAAGAGGAAGATGATGACCAGAAAGACGAACACTGTAGTGTTATAGGGAAGAAGATGTTTCCTTTATTGTCGGCATCGCTAGAAACAGGCTCACCACAAGAGGGCAACATTAATGCCTGGGGCATTTCAACTTCCATTCCTGTTTTTAATTTTCCCTGATCCGTGTAGTAGGATTTCTTTTAGATTATCTAGCAGCATCAGCATGAAATAGTTACCCTCTTAGTTTTAAAAAGAAAATAAAAATATCTTTAAAATTATGTAGTAATAAATTTACTTAAACAATATCCATAAAAAAACCTCTCTCCCTTGATCAACGTTAATTACCAGTTTGATCTTTTTTTTTTTGCATTAGAAATTGCAAATGTAAATATACATTCTTCTTAAATCTTAATGCATAAGTAAAACTGGATGTGTGCTTTTATTGCAGCAACAGTAGAGAATTGTTATATATCGCTTTCTTTTGTATTCAGTAATTACGTGAATAAATAATTTCATTTATTATCTATATATAAATTAAAAATATCTGAGCTTACAAGTTTAGAATTTTAGAGTTTAGAGTTTTTATTTAGGTTGTGCTAAGAAATAATAAAATATTTTCCTGTATAAAAAGGTTTTCGCCGATATTTTTATTGGGCAAAAATAAAAAAATAAAAATAAGCTTCCGGGGCACTTGTTTAAATTGTAAATACTTCCTTTACTCGATGGACTGAAATATAGTCCACTTACGCTTTTTTTTTTTTTTTTTTTTTTGTAAGTTAAAAAGGTACTTGAATTCTGAATATACAAGACTGGGTTTTCCTGGTTTTCAGAAAAGAAAATGATAAAAAGAAAAGAAAAAAAAAAGGCATGTGCGTGTTTTTTTTTTTTTTTTTTTTTTTTTTAATTGCAAACTTTGCTTCAGGAGTGTTTTTTTTTTTTTTTTTGTATATAAAATAAACCTAGAAGGAATTTCTTAGATTTATATTTTTTTTTCTTTTACAAGAGCGTGTAATTCGGTAGTGTTTTTTTTTTTTTTTCCTTAGGTTTTTCTCACCCCCAAAAAAGGGGATGTGTAGTGGAAAGCATGTTTGAATATTTTTTTTAATTTCACATTAATTGAAAACACAGCTTCAGTGCGAAATCGAAAACTTTCCTGGCTTTTTTTTTTTTTTTTTTTTTTTTTTTAATACATATATAATTTTTTTTTAATTTTATTTTTGGTCCCGGGGGTAACACTATCAGCAGTGATATATTTTTAGAAGTATTTTAGTAGAGGAAATCCGATTCGGTCTCCTGTAAGTCCAAACACGGGGAGTATGGTTCTCTTTTGGTAGGTAAAATAACCAGTTTAGAGTTGATTATCCAAGAAATTGTTTAATAAAATAAGAAAACTCCTCAAGTTCAAGTATATACTACTACTTATAAATAACCTATTATTAATATTATTTCAACTGTCAGTTTATAGCAGTAGCAGCATTTTGTGATTATTCAGTAGTAGTAGTAGTAGTGTAGAGTTTTTCTTTCAGAAATCAAGGTGAGAGAGGGTCTTTCTTTTTCCTCTCTCCATACGTTTAAAAATTTATGTAAGCAGTCCTTCGTCCATCCAAAAAAAATAAAAAATAAAGAGCTGGGAAATAAAAGTTTAAGAAGAGATAGAGTAGCAAAGAAAATTAAAAACAGAACCTTGTTGGTTCCTCTTGTTCGGTCGTAGTAATTATAAAAACATCAATCTATTGAATTGAAATGGTACTGCATGTAGTTTTGAAACAGTACATTTCATCCACAGAATGCAATTTATGTATAATTATTTTTTTAACAGGGGGGAAAAAAGAGGGAGAAGTTAAGTAGCTTTCTTTTTTTTTTTCTTTTTTTTCCCCTGTTTTAACTCCAGCCGGTGATCCTTGTGGGTTGATAGTGATTATTATTATTATTTTTAAAAAAATAAAATAAAATAAGGTTGCTTGATTAAGCAAAGCTGACTTGCGTAGTGCTTTTATGTATATATTAACGTGTAGATATAATAATGAATTAGGTTTTTTTTTTTTTTCGTTCTTTCTCTCTCTTTGTATCTGTGGTAGTAGCGATGATAGTCGATGCAGGGTCACGAGAAGAGGGAAGGAAACGAAAAATGAAATCTCCCTTAAAAACATAAAGAGTACAGTAGGCCTTTAGCTCCCTCCTTCTTGCAGGCCATCTTGCTTTCTGCTGCTGCTGCTCTCCGCTGCTGCTGATGACGTGGTGCTCTGACGTCACGGCATCCTTTGCCTTCTAAATTCAATCCAGACCCGGCAACCCCCTTTTGTAGTCTGTAGAATCGTTTTATTGGGGTTTATGCGCTCAAGGAGCGATGCAAGTTTTTTTTCTTCTTCTTCACTGGATCGATTCCTTTGTCACAGCGTCGAGACAAATAATGCTAGTTGATGATTACAAGGCCGTCCTTGTTCCCGATATTTCAACAGATAGGTCGGGTACAATCCATTCCAGGAGTTCATCAACACTCAACCAACAGGCTTGCCGCTTGAGTCTTGACCTAGTCGATCCGAAGTGTGTGTGTGTGTGTATGTATATATATATATATATATGTGTGTGTGTGTTATTTCTAAAGAATTTATTTAATGGATTTATTTTTCATCCGACATTTCTATTACTTTCAAACATTGATACTTCGTATTTTAAATCAACGCACCATTTTTTTATTTAGTAAGCCGTGTGTACGTCTATCGGCCTGAAGAAAACTCCCCGTCAAGGATCGAACCTGCATCCTACTTTGTAGGCGAAACCACCGTTTGCTTTACCGCTAGGCCAAGCAAGTCTCTATTGTCACAGTAAGCAAGATTATATTTTCCCTTTTTTTAAGGAAAGTGCATCCTCTTTACTCAATTTATTTTTTCCAACAAAAGCCCATATCTGCTCACTTTCACATGCAAAATGTAAACAAACCAATCTCTAATGAATTAATAGATTTATTTTTTATCCAAAATTTTTATTACTTCAACCATTATTATCATGGATACATTCAAGAAATCTTAGTAAAGAAAATGAATTTCCTAGCAAGGATTGAATCTGCCTTCCCTTTTTGTGGGGAAGCCAGTGTGCTTTACCATTTGGCCACAAAGAACATCACAGCAAGCAAGGTTCTATTTTCCCTTTTTCAGGAAAGCATGTCCTCTTCAATCAGATTATTATCCCAAAAGCTTCATATCTGCTCAGTTTCATATCCGAAATGTAAACAAAATAATTTCTAAAGAATTAATGAATTTATTTTTAATTCGATATTTTTATTACTTTAAACGTTATTATAGTGGAGACTTTGTATTTGAAATAGACGCCCCATTTTTATTCATTAAACAGTGTGTATTACGTCCATCGACCTGCGCATTCATCTGCTTGCTGAGATACTCTCCGTGGCCGAGCGGTAAAGCACACTGGATAAACAGTGGTTTCCCCTACAAAGATAGAAGAAAAGAGTTTAGTCTATTGTAATTTGGTCTCTCAAAAAAGAAACTCGAATTATACACGAGATACATGATAAAATCATTTTTTATAAGTGGAAATTTTGGGGTCGCATGATACGCGTGATCGCGCGTTACACGACTATATACATGGTACGGTAAGAATTATAAAATTTGAAACTGCAAATTATTTATATTTTTACAAAGATATATATAAAGGTGTGTAGTAGTTAATTTTATGAATGAATTTTATGGATATTACCGTATATTTCTACATATGTCTTATAGATAAGACGAGACCCAAAATTTAGGTAAATGTTTATGATTTTATCTGATATCCGTAGTATAAGACGACCGACATCTTATGGCATCTTAAATGTTTTCTTGCTTAACACCGCAAGTGAAAAAAAAAGACAATAAAAGACCAATATTCAGGAAGAGAGAAGATGGCTATTGACGTTGGAATTAAATTTTTGAAGATTGCAGGTGTCAGGGAAGCAAGAAATTAGAAGTAGTTCCACACGCGAAAAGTGCGAGAAAGGAAACTGTTATAATAAAACTGACGGTTGCATCGAACTACCGTATACTTCTACGTATAAGGCGACCTATAGATAAGACTATACACACAATCTAGGTAAAATTCCATGATTTTATCTGATATCCGTAGTATAAGACGACCGGGTCCCATATGACGAAACAGTAAATGACAATGTTTATGATGAGCTCTTTGCATCAGATGATGGTGATCATAATAATAATTTTGAAGGGTTTTAAGTATGTATGTGGGTGTCTTAAGATTTTTATTCTGTAATGAGAAATAAAGATTTTATAGCATTTTGTTGCTTAACACCCCCAAAAATACCGTACAAGGTTATTGAAAATACCTTATAATGTTACTGAAAAATAATAGTCTGCATGTTATACTAAATGTTGTTGTTATTTAGCACCACAGTGTTAATGAATTTTAATTAGAAATATAGACTGTATATTATTCTAAATGTCATTTTTAACATTTAGTCAGTTATGTGCCATGCGTGATACACGCTTGGCGATCATGTATCTTTCGATACATGACTGACAAGGTAGATTTTGTTCCCGCAGTAGGTTGTCATTTCTTTCTGCAGTAGACCAGCTGCTATCCAAGGCTATAGAACCCGGTCTGTTCTGCTATTTACCCATAGCTGGGGAAGAAGAAGAGGATTCATACCTTTCCCAAGAATATTAGCACGTAAGTGAATGTAATGGATTCGACTGGAATTCGAACTCAGCTCTCTGATTCTTCAATCCTAGTCGCTATCCATTCAGTCAGTTATGTGCCATGCGTGATACACGCTTAGGCGATCATGTATCTTTCGATAAATGACTGACAAAGCAGATATTTTTCCCACAGTAGGTTGCCATTTCTTTCTGCGATAGACCAGTTGCCATCCAAGGCTATAAAACCCGGTCTTTCCTGCTTTTTAACCAAGGCAGCGTGGGGGAGAGAAGAAGAGAATTCATACCTTTTCCAAGAGTATTAGCACGTAAGTGAATGTAATGGATTTGACTGGAATTCGAACTCAGCTCTCCGATTCCTCAATTTGAGCCGCTATCCATTACTCCAGATTGAGAGTATAATATAATATATTAATATAAAATATGCTGTTGATTATTGTATATAATTGTTTATATATTCATTCTTATACTTTCTTGTC